GAGGCTCCTAAAGAGAGAGAGATGGAAAACGAGAGGAACAAAGGGGGGGGAGTGAAAGAATAAAGAGAAAGACAAGAAAAAAGAGAGAAACAGAAAGAGAGAAAAATAGAGAGGAAGGAGTGAGAGAATAGAGAGAAACAAGAAAAAAGCAAGAGAGAAAAAGAAAGTGAAGAAAATGAGAGAAAAGAGAGGAAAAAAGTGAAAGAGAGAAAGAAAGACAGTGAGGCAGAAAAAAGAAAAGAGCAGAGGGAGGAGAAAGAAAGAAAGAAAGAAAGAAAGAAAGAAAGAAAAAAGAAAGAGTGAGGCAGAAAAAGAAAAGAGCAGAGTAGAAAGAAAAAGAAAGAAAGAAAGAAAGAAAAAAAAGAAAAAAGGGAAAGAGAGAGAAGAAAACAAACAGAAAAAATATAAAAAGCAAAAAGAAGGGAGAGAGAATCAGACAGACAGAAAAGGGAAAAGAGAAACATAAAGAAAAAAGGCAGAGAGAGGAGAGAGAGCAAGAGGATGATACAGACAGAAACAGAGTAAGAATGACAGTTGTAGACACACACAAACACAGATATTAAAGAACACATCTCACACACACACACACACACACACACAAACACAGATATATTAAAGAACACATCTCACACACACACACACACACAGATATATTAAAGAACACATCTCACACACACACACACACACAGATATATCAAAGAACACATTTCTCTCACACACACACACACACACACAGATATATTAAAGAACACATCTCACACACACACACACACACACACAGATATATCAAAGAACACATTTCTCACACACACACACACAGATATATTAAAGAACACATCTCACACACACACACACACACACACACACACAGATATATTAAAGAACACATCTCACACACACACACACACACACACACACAAACACAGATATATCAAAGAACACATTTCTCACACACACACACAGATATATTACATTTCTCACACACACACACACACACACACACAGATATATCAAAGAACACATTTCTCACACACACACACACACACACACACACACACACACAGATATATTAAAGAACACATTTCTCACACACACAGATATATCAAAGAACACATTTCTCACACACACACACACACACAGATATATTAAAGAACACATCTCTCTCTCACACACACACACACACACACACACAGATATAAAAGAACAAATCTCACACACACACACACACACACACACAGATATATTAAAGAACACATCACACACACACACACACACACACACACACACACACACCAGACACATCACACACACAGCACACACTCAAACAATCAGTAACACACTCACTTGTTGTCTCCTAATATACTGTGCGGCTCCAACTGAAGTTCCTACAAACAAATAAATACACTGAACATTAGAAAACATAAAACAAACACCATCCGCCCCCCCCTATCCCCTCCCCCCACAAAGAAAAGTGTTACATACCGGTTCATGATGTAGTTCTGTCTCCTTCCTTAGAGGAGGATCAAACTTCACCTGATCAACTGAGTCAAACAAACACATGTACAATTAGAAAAGACAAAAATACATACCTAAATACAGCACACGCACAGACGAGCCTAAACATCACTACCACTCATTTATGTCTAACGTAAAGCCATTTATATTCAGCAGTAAGCTGTGTGACTCTCTGTCTAACATTCGTGGACCTATTTGAGGGTAGAAGCCATAGTTTCAGGACTTTTACAGTGCAACATGTGCACTTAAACTATTAAACTATCAAACTATTCATGTTTTTACTGATGGTTTAGTCCCGGTCAGAGTTTATAGAGAATATTTGGTCTCACAGTAAATACAAACTAGCAGAACTACTGGAACAACACTGACTCTATCTGTAAAAGGCCAGTCTGCGAGTTTACCCACAAGACTTCAACATTTAAAGAAATCAAACGGAAAAGCTCCACCACACTAACTTACTTTGTCTATCTGCTTAATGACTGGTTGCTAAGAGCATCAAAAGCTTAACGTTTTGCCGTTTCGGGCTTTTTCATGCACGAGAGTGTAGGTAACAGGGAGCCATTCGACATTCAGCCTTAGCTGAACATGCTTTGTGAGACAGGCCTCCAGGTCACGCTCACATGCACATACCAAATTAACTCCTCCAAACCAAAAAGTGACACAGGAACACTAGATGAGACTGACCAGACTACAGATACACACAGACACTCACAGTTGATCTCGGACAGAGTCTTTCCATCCCGTGAACTTCTACTTGTTGAGCGAATCCGATGAGGAACAGAAACAGGAGACTGAAAAAACACACACAAACAGTATTTTGCATTGGAAGATGAACTCTTCATTATCAACTTACACCTCATTAATTATATTATATATACTGAGCTCATCACACATTTCCCTGTAACACTGCAAGTCACTGCAGGCATGCAGTAAGGTCACTCAAATATGCAAACTCATCTTCGTATTTGATAACTTAAAAGGTGCAATCTGACCTAATACGGTAATAATAGTTTAATATGTTATTTATTGTGTCACGTAATATTATGTAGTGCAGTTTTTTATCTCTCCTTTGATCAGTTCTCTCACTACAATACCCAGCACGCATTACGCAAATATACACAGATCAGGCATAACATTATGACCACCTCCTTGTTTCTACGCTCATTGTCCATTTTATCAGCTCCACTGATAAATTACAGACTGTAGTCCATCTGTTTCTCTGCATACTTTGTTAGCCCCCTTTTACCCTGTTCTTCAGTGGTCAGGACCCCCATGGACCCTCACAGAGCAGGTACTATTTGGGTAGTGGATCATTCTCAGTACTGCAGTAACACCGATGTGGTGGTGGTAAGTTAGTGTGTGTTGCGCTGGTGTGAGTGGATCAGACACAGCGGTGCTGCTGGGGTTTTTAAACACCTCAGTGTCACTGCTGGACTGAGAATAGTCCACCAACCAAAAATATCCAGCGTTCTGTGACCACCGATGAAGGACTAGAGGATGACCAACACAAACTGTGCAGCAGCAGATGAGCTATCATCTCTGACTACATCTACAAGGTGGACCAACAAGGTAGGAGTGTCTAATAGAGTGGACAGTGAGTGGACACAGTGTTTAAAAACCCCAGCTGCACTGTTGTATCTGATCCACTCAGACCAGCACAGCACACACTAACACACCACCGCCACGTCAGTGTTACTGCAGTGCTGAGAATGATCCACCACCCAAATAGTACCTGCTCTGTTGTAGAACTACAAAGTGCACCTATATAGTAAGTGGAGCTGATAAAATGGACAATGAGCGTAGAAATAAGGAGGTGGTCATAAAGGTTATGCCTGATTGGTGTACAACCATTGGGAATCTTTGTGGTGTCAAGCAATCCTACTGCTAGCTCAGACAATTTAGCTTTAAGCTTGTCCATTTCATCTAATGAATCATTTCTTGCATTTGACTACTCCATTCTCACCACTGTAGTGATGATTTGAATGCCATTATTACAGTTTTACAGTTGCAATAAGATATTCAGCTTACTAGCAGTAACATTAGCTACAGTAACATTTTACCAGAGACACTACTGAGGCAAAGTAGGCATGTTTACAACAGACATAACTATGGTTACTTCTTTCATTTTGGCCGGGATCTACTATCATTCAAGTATTCAAATATGGTACATATATAGTTTTGAAAAAAACAAAAAACAAAAATGAAAAAAAAAAGAAATAAGTCGTGTTTCCTGTTTAAAGGTGGGGTGTTTAAGATTTAGTGGCCTCTAGTGGTGAGGTTGCAGACTGCAACCAACTGATTCCCTATCCCTCACCCCACCCTTTCCAAGCATGGAGTAGAACCTACAGTGGCCATCAGGTTTCCTGCCGCCTGTCTCAGTTTCGTTTTGCTTCTTCGACGATGAGGATTCACCAAGCATGATCCTCCATTTGTCACAATTTGGGTTCCCAGACTTTTCACAACACAAAATGATTCGCCAGCACCGGCAGCAACCACTGATCCTTCTTTTTTCTATGCCTTCCAACCAGTGCTGCAGCGCCACCTAATTCAAGCTGCAGCTTCAGCGTAAAAAGGCAAAAGGTGCTTTCTAAAGCCAGTGTTCGGTTTGGGTTCGGTTTCCGTTCTGGGCTACTGTAGTAACCAGGTGGACCAACATGGCGGCCTCTGTTGGAAGAGGATCCGCTCCTTATGTAGACATGAAGGGCTCATTCTAAGATGACGGAAACACAACGATTTACAGTTATAGGTGATTTTACACTAATGAAAACATGGTTTTGTATGCTACGCTATACTCAGTTTCTGCTAACAGATCCCCCGAAATCTTACACATTGCACCTTTAACTTTCTGTCTGAGTGTGTGAGAGGCTTGATATTGTGGCTTACATTAGGCAAAAAGGCCATATTCAAATGCAAATGATATCCTTCAATCAAAAACATATCAGCCGGAAGTATGTTAAATGATAAATGGTTAAAATGCAAAGTTAAATATGTATGAATAACCTCTTATGCTAGTTTCACACTATAAACAACATGTTAAACCTCACATGCTTTTCTTTCCTATTCATGACAACATAAAATATTTTTTTCATTGGGATATTAGAATACCATTCATTTAAAAGTATGAATATTCAATATGCAAAAAAATGTTAAAACGCCCAGCCCTTGCATGCACAGACACACGTCCAAGTCATACAGGTACCTGAGTGACCACTAGCAGAGTGAATGCCTCACCTTCACTGAGGTCACTGCTAAAGAAACAACCAATAAGACTTCAATATTCCATATCTGAACCCCCTCTTGTGATTCTGCGAAGGCCCAAGGTTGTGCACTTACTTCAGGATCAGGGTCCTCATCATCTATGTCACTGTAGTGGGCATGGTCAGGGTTGCTGGCCTTGTCCAGCAGCTCTATGGCGAGGGTCCGACTCAGGGGCTGCGATACAAATGGGTGCTGAGGGAAACAGAAAGTGGTGCAATTAAACTCAGTGACATGATTAATGCAAACAGGATGTGAGGTCAGTAAGTGTGGCAATTTTACCAGACAATGGCACTCAAAGAGCGGGCGGGGCTATCCTTACCTGGAGGAGTTTTTCAGCTGTCGGTCTCTTTTTGGGGTTTTTCGTCAGCGCCATTTTCACAAAGTGATGGAAGTTACTCGTCCTTGAGTAAAGAAGAGAGGAGACGATTGCTTCTTACAACTTTTCCAACACATTTCACATCCCAGAGGCTTCTAAAAATATGTGTAATACATCAAAGCCTTCTAAAAAAGCATAAGCTGTGATGACTAATTCAGCATATTTCTACTGAATAATTCAGCATATTTCATATATACACACTCACAAACAAGCATGAAAACACTCACCATTTGACTTTATCTTTCAGTTTAGGAGGCTGAAAATTGCTCTTAGTCATGAGGAAAAGGGCTCTAAGGGGTGCAAGAGAATTAATTATTAAAATAAAAACCAAAAAAGTTACTATTTTGTACTTCTCTTTGAGCACTCTGTATGTGCCTTATGTCACTTTAGTGTTAGTTTCAGGACCTTCTTATATTTATATTATATATATATATATATATATATATATATATATATTATTCTATTTTTCTACAATTAGTGTTTATTTTGTTTGCGATTAGTGTTTATACTATGGGGTCTGAGAGTAACGCAATTTCAGTACTCTGTATGTCCTGCACATATTGTAGTATTGACAATAAAGCTGACCTGACTTGAAAAAAAACTATACTAAAAACTAGGGATGTCAAACACATAAAAATTAATTATGAATAAATGCATTACTTTGTGTAGTTAATCACTATTAATAATTTAAAAGTAGTGTAATTTTTATAGCTATTTGAGTGAACAGAACAGATGAACTAATCAGTCAAGCAATCAACAAAGGCTATGAAACCAACGCTAAAAGATCAAAATGTTAAAACGAATGAAGCCAAATTCTATACACATTTACTCCCCAATCTCATTTCCTAACTTTGGCAAGGTAATTGTTCAACCAGCAACCAGTCAGTAAACAGGGCTCTAAGTCAGAAGTGCCCAAACACATATACACAAAAAATACATACAATTTTCAAATTAAAATATGAATTAATTGAGTTATGTATAGTATATATGTATAAATTAGGGTAACTTCCTGGTGGGACAAATCAAATCAACTTTTTCCTGAGGGATGCACTTTAGGGATCCCTGACATAAATTAAGATATACATACCTCATTGGGTGCAGGTCAAACATGGGTGGCTGTAGCTCAGCCAGCTCTATAGCAGTGATGCCCACAGCCCAGATATCACACAGCTGATTATAACCACCCTTTCTTTCTACAGCCGCCACCTCTGGAGCCATCCTGCAGAGAGAAAGAGAGAGAGAGAGAGAGACAGACATATAGAGACAGAGAAACAGAGAGAGATAGAGAGGACAGAAAGAGAGGGAAAAAGAAAGAAGAGAGAGTTGGGGGGGGGGTGAATATGCATTTAGGGTGAGGGTGGCACTGTTTATGTGCAAAACAGAGGAAGGAGACTAAGAAAATTACCAACCTAAAGCAATGTGAACTTGCTAAAGTTTTTTTCTCCCTCCCCCAATAACATTTTCCTGTAGATAGTATTTTTAAGTGAATGAGTCGATATAATGAGCGAACATGGCATTATGAACTGCATGTCATTTACATTTATTTTAAAGAATAGTGTTTAATTTAAAAAATGACATGACATTCATGTTTGTTTTAACTTGTATTAGTAGTGACTGGTAAATATAACATAAGCCCTTTAGAATATAGAACATCATTATACATTTCTGTAATTTGATCAACTTCTTAGCATTTAATCACATATTCATAAACAAATTGTAGTTGCCAGTCCCTCGGTTTAAACCAGGTTCTTACGTAGAGCATGTTTGGGCCATGTACTTCATAAACATGCTTATATCTGGTTCTATCGATCAGTACTACGTTCCATGGCCCATACAAGAAATACTTTTTTATATCAATGGCTTTGAATGTGGCTCAACCTATTAGATTTCAGAACCAGACCCAGCCATTCGATAATTGATTTTAGTCTTGACAGTTAAAAATTAAGCATCAAATACTGACAAATATATAACAGCAGGATTTTACCAATACGGCGTTCCAATGAAAGACTTCCTCTTGGCCAGTGTAGCCGAGATCTGAGCAGATACTCCGAAATCCGCTATGGAGAAAAACAGAGAGAATCAAAAACAATGAAAAATAGCAACATGAACATGAATGAACAACAGCCATACAGGTAAAGTCTTTTTTACTCAGTCTGATTTTTCCTACAGGGCCTTACCCAGCTTCACATAGCCGTTGTCGGTTAGTAGGATATTGGCTCCCTGCAAAAAGACACAACAGCATAAACAAAGTAAAAAGCTGTTCAACCCTAAGTTTGGAACTGGGGTTATTAATCGATTAACCATTAACCGCCAAATACATACATGTTCAACAAAAACCTTCACTTAAAAGGTTACTTAATTTCTGAGAAACAACTGATTTTCAAACAGGTGCGTTTTTACTCAAATTGAGGACAGTGTTTGAACTATATGCATGAGGACGCATGAGCGCAACTTGCTCCATTAGCCTGACTTAACTCTGGGTTTTACAGAACTGACTCTGACGGCAACGCATCAAAGTTGAGCGGAGTTTAACTTCATGCAAATAAGGAGTGAAGTGACGTGCCGATTACCAATAGGAATCAAGCTTTCAGCAGCGTCGTACTGTGAAACGGTACACTCCGTTTTTGGGTTCCTCTATAATTGTTCCTACTAGAGATGGAAAAATGGCAGCAGGGCTTTCGTCGCAAATAGACAGTAATCACAAAGACCAAATCCTGTGTTCCTCACACTGCACAAACACAGGGATTAAATAAAAATACGCACACAAGCGATTTCACACCAGAATTTTTTACATTTTAGAGGGACACATCTGATTTGTGCTTGGCGTCAGCGAAGCTATGGCAACCAGTTAAGAGTTCAGAAACACCCACAGCCGAGGAGCGATCAGCGATTTAGGTGACAAGAGGTGAAAGGGCACTGCTGGTGTGAATGCAGGGTCAAGCTATAGCCTGCAGATGTGTTTGTTAGCTAACAGTTAGCCTATGTAGTTAGTCTTACGACAAAAAGTTTAAGAGCTGCAAGTTACCGACATTGTGTTGATTGGGCTAATAATACGTGGTAAATGTAAGTAAACACTAGAGGTGGGCAATGTGCCAAAAACACAATATCTTGATACGTCAAAAGCTACAATATACGTCTTAATATTTATTTTTATCTAACATTTGTTGAGTTGCAATAGACAAAAAAGGAACAAGTAGTGTCACATTTTTTAAATACCAACAAAAACAACACAAAATATTTTCATTCAACATTTCACATCCTGTGCTGCACCAAATCCAATAAACAGGACTAATTATTTTCTCTTTTTAGTCAAACATACAGGTGGGAGGTGCTGTTTAAGTACAGAATGTATCTACAATATGCTCAGAAAAGCATACTGTGACATATTTAGATGTGATTTACCATGATAACGATAAATATTGTCATACTGTCCAGCTTCAGTAAGTACATTATGTTACTGTCACATCTGTCACACCAGGCTGAGTTTTTCATTCAATAAAGCCTAAAACCTGTTTTCATAGATCATGTGCATGAATTTGTCTAGTAAAATTTGCATCCCCTTCTAAAACAAGGTTTAGTATAGCTTCTAAACTGAATGCAGGTAGAGGGGAGGATATGAGGAAGCCTACCTTAATATCTCTGTGCATCTTGCCCTTGTTATGGAGGTAGTACAAACCCTGAAACACAGGAGAACAGAAGGACGTCACCAGTTTGCTCACACGGAGTTTGATTCAGAGTAGCTGTGAGAGCTTGGGTGTACCTGCAGCGTCTCCCGTGATACATATGCAATCTGGGATTCCAACAGAGGCCCAGTCACTGTTAGAACGAAAGAAAGATGTAAATAACACATAGAAAATATGTATAATATCAATGAAATGTTAGAATTTGTCATAGTAACACCTACCATGATAAATATCCTGCAGTGAGCCTCCTCCACAATATTCCATACTGATCCATAACTTATCCCTCCTAAAACACCAATACAAAAAACAGCAAATCAGCACACAACCTGAGCACACGCCAATCAATCAAAATACAGTTTAAAATTTGCATGCAGACATGAGTCAAACACAAATCTGCAAAACTCATTGATATATTTACGTTTTTAAGCAAAGAGAATTCAAATGTGTCAATGAGAAAACATTTCACATCGTTATAAGACTCAAAATTCATTTAATGTACATTTTACTACTTATAGTTGTATTAGAAACAAATTTCAAGCATTTAGGCATTCATTTATTCAATAACATTAAATATCTTCAACATTATGGAATTATATTATTAGGTGTGCCCAAACTTTTGACTGAAGCTTTACATGCAATTCAGGTGCAGTCGTGTTCAGGCCGTACCTGAGATAGCTGCCAAAGTAAGCAACAATGTTGGAGTGTTTACAATCTTTCATCATAATGATCTCTTGCTGTACCACCGCAAAGTCTTCACCTGCAGAAAAATAGCCAATAAATCAATTAATCAATTAGAATATTCATAAAGTTATTCAATGCAATGGACAGTTTAAAGAAAAATGACTGTTTTGTTTTTTTTTTTTACCCCCTCACACACACACAATCACACTCAAACACAAATAAAACACACACAAACAATAACACATAATAAAACAGTCAAACAGTAACACATACAAACACACAAAAAATACAAGCACATAAAAACATGCACACAAATAAACATATTTTGTCCTATCACTGTGGAGACACATATGCACAAATATGCAAACATTCAAACACACACAAACACAAAAAACACACAAACACACACACACACACACACACTATGCTATCCACTGTAGGGACATTTTGTACCCATTTGAAAAGAAATATATTAGGACTGCACAATACACAGTTAATCATTATCACGATATTGGTATCTGCAATACTGCCATCAGAGAAGGCACTATGCAAATGAGGCCTACAACGAGGCACAGTGTTGTTTACAGTGTACTGTGAGCATCCTGACCAATCACAGCTCCAGATGAGTGTCTGTGAGTGTTCTCATCGCTCATAACCGTCAAATTAATGCAAGTTGGTCTTCAACAATGTTATATTATTGATTCCCCAATGTGTTTTTATTAGTAAAAAGCCTAACCTAAAAAATAAATAAACCTATTTTCACATGCACTTTTCAGTTCTCAGTAGGGATACACAGTGTGTATACGGTATGGACTGGGGAGTGTATGGTATGTTTTGAAAACTTTAGACTTTGACAATTCTTTTTTTTCGTGAGGAAAATGCAGTTTTCCATGATACAGGTCCTTAAAAATATATCAATATGCCATTTTCAATACGTATACACGTTAAACAAGCACGTGTCTTTTCTCCTATATTATAAGGTGTATCTCAATCGCAACACAGTACTGTAGTCACAGTACTGGTGTGTTGTCCATATCACGCAGCCTTAGCAGATAAGCACGTACACAAACCACTATGGAAAGTGTGTGGAGCCCACTGGAAAGAACACAGAGGTAGCGATTGGGCAAGATAACACACTTCGGTCAGCATTAGGTGACCAGCGGCCCTTCTGTGCATGAACGAAGCACGCACCCACACCTGTTTAGCAATATTTAACTGCCTGTGACCGTTCCCCTTATTGCTGATGCGCATACGCACTTTAGTTAAATATTGCACCCCAGAGAGAGCGTGCATGCGCATGCTGTGTCTAAAATAGAGAGGTTTTTGCAATCAGTGCCAAAACTTTGATGGATGAAGTGATGGATGGGTGGTCAGATAAACTGATGCACAGACAAATGGACGGACATACAGACGAAGATGTTTACCTGGTTCCAGTTTAATGACTTTGATGGCGGCCAGCTCTCCTGTGTTGACATTGCGCGCCTGAGGGAAAAGGGAGAGATAAAAAGGCTGATTAATGGCAAGAAATTTAAAGGAACCGTCTCACTTCACAGTCAGTGGTCAGCTTGTAAGGCCAATCAGGGAACAGGCAAATATCTATTTCCACCTCTTATCAAGACAAGTTTAGCACCCACAGTTTGCTTATTTAGTCTTATAATAGAGCTACAAGGCTAATGTAGCTAAGTAATCTCTAACAGCCTTGTTTATGTTGTTTGTGACACTATATTTCTAACATACTGTTACCTATAAACAAGTCAAAACATATTTATCATCATTACTCAGTACAACTTGTATAATCGAAATTAACTGTCGTTCTTCAGACCTTCTGGTGCAACACATAATACAGGACTGCACAGAGTGCAGATACACAACAGTGTGAAACGAGTGCAGAGCATGTGATTAATACACCAAACAATAAATATACACCACAACAAAACAATATATACAAATGGCCATCATACACACACACACACACACACACGTATGTGTATTAGTGTCACTGCTGGACTGAGAACAGTCCACCAACCAAAAATATGCAGCGTCTTGTGACCACTGATGAAGGACTGGAGGATGACCACTGGAGGATGACCACTAACACCACCATGTCAGTGTCACTGTAGTGCTGAGAATGATCCAACACCCGAATAATTAGTGTTGCACCGATACCAATACTGTAACGGAGTAGAGGTATCGGTGACGGGATACCGATACCTGTGACTAACACTATAAAGCAGCATCTGATGTGTGCATGCGCGCCAGTGGACAGAACTTAACAACTTGACCGTGGTGTGGGACGACAAGCAGCAGTAAATATGCTTGCGGCAGAATCTGTAACGGCATTAAACTAACGCAGCCGCTTATCTGAACGGCTGAGCTGCTTCTTTCAGTAATCACTCGTCTGCCGCTGTGTGGTCATTTACAGTCTGAGTTAATGTTATTAAGAGCGGAACGAAGCACCAGACTCCCAGCATAAAGACCACATTTAGCCTTGATTTAGCCTTTAGCATAGCACCCCACTAGCCAGGCCTGTGTGTCCACTAACCCCGCCTGCGTTCGCCGTCCGTCAGTCAGCTGTATCGCTCAGCAGCATGGTCTCACGGCCTGTCGTTTCAACCAGCCAAAAAAAACACTGAAAGTCGCTGATACTGACAGCGTGAACGCGATCGGGCTGCGATACGATTATAAAACGATTATCGATGCATCTCGATGCATCTTTTTTCTCTATACATGATTTCTATCTTCCTACTGTCTGAGGACTTGGTAGTTTTAAAGCAAAGTATTTGTAATGATCCATAATGTAAACGCATTACGGGTCATTACAAATACTTTGCTTTAATTATCTAAAATATCTTTTATTAATAAATCAAATGGAAGTGATGTGGCAAGTGAACTAGAAGGCTCTCATTCAGAGACGCTGCTGCCACTCATCTGCGATAAAATGCGCTGTTGCCCTGAAATAAGATCCAGTGGCAATGGGTGTCCACGCAGTACGTTACAGCCACCCTTTTGGTCTCGTTGTAGAGAGTGGGGGGTATTTTCGAGACTGGACACTGAATCTCGGCTCCAAAGTGTGCAGCATAACGCGAAAGCCCTGGTTCTCAACGACTGAGAACAGACAGCAGACAGCAGGTCACATAGCCCCGAAGTCTGGCCTCGTCAGTAGCGAACGAAAAAACAGATTAAGATGAACATTTGGAGGACTTATTCGCATTTATAAGCAGCGCGGTTGGTTAAATCTGCTGAGAGACTGTCTTTCTCTAAAAAGTTGCGAAAATGAACTCGCTTCTCTTTCGTATTTTCCCGTTCCACCTTAAATGGTGCAGCAGTTACATTCTAAGGCAGAATTTAAGGTGGAACGGGAAAATTAGAACGAGAAACTGGCGAATGAGAAGCGACTTCAGCCTCGTAAAACAGCCGCATGCTGAGACATTTTACAAGAAACTCTTCTAGTTTTGAAGTTTTCTGACGGAGATGGGAGGAAAGCGGCTAAAGCTAAAGCTTAAAGCAGAGCGAAGTAAATCTGCGCTCTTGTGTATATTTTTAGCCCATACTAGGACATTATCACACACTGAGACCTACTGGGCATTAAATGTTGTGGCTCCCAAGGTGGTTTGACTTCGTTGAAAGGCAAAATGGCTCTTCTTATCATTTGTGTTGTGACTCCTGATCTAACCTGGCTTTTAATGCAGAGGGAGCCGGTCGGATTTCTCGCTCATCCAGTAGTGTTTTTGTTATGTGCCGCCACAGACTGTCCGGGCGCTGCACTTACCCACTTCCAGTTCAGCCTTTTGCGTTCCGTCAACATTATGTTATAAATTAAATATTTAGAAAATCGATTTTTGACATTGAATGAATCGATTCAGAATCGTTCACGTCCGCATTGCGATGCATCTAAGAATCGAGTTTTTCCCGCACCCCTAATATACACGTTATATATATATATATATATATATATATATATATATATATATATATATATATATATAAATAAAATACTTATGCCATATCATCTATTCCTAGTCTCTCAGTCTCTCTTTTCCCAGTCCAAGTATGGATGCCCTCTCTGTGTTAGCAGATGGATATTCTGTGATATTTTGCAGATCTATACTGGGAGATGGTCTCTTTATGTCACACACATACACACTCATAGACACAAAGGCTTCTTCTGTAAGGCCTTCACTGAGAGACATCTGTCTAACACAACAGCAGATCTGATGATGTCATCACAGAGAAGAGAGAGATGGAAGAAAAAAGGGAGTTTAGCACTGAGAATATAAAAAAGATACACAATCATGTCTGCTACCAGATAAGAAAGATAAAATCCAGCTCAAAATGCAATCAATGCAACAGCCATTTATTCTTATGTATTCTAGACTGTTCCTACATTATTTTACCATTTTTTCTGAACAAGCATTTTCATTTTTACAAGTACAGTACTGTGCTAAAGCTAGAGAGTACCCTTCATTTATTTCATTTCCAATCAAAACAGATTAATTCCAAGTTTTTAATTTTTCAGCGTCAGGAAAATATACATTATTGCAGAAAACTGCACATAATAACAAACATTTTTGGTGTTTAATGTGTCCACAGCTTTTCATCTTTTCAGGAGACTCGCTTTCAGTTTTTCTACAAGGTCTCCAGGGATGATTTTTCACACATCCAAAGTTCAGTCTCAGAATTTGGCTGCATTTCTGCTTCTCACAATCCAAATAATCAATCAATTTTCAAGCCATCATTCAACAAACGCCAAAGTGTCTATCTAACAATTGCTAAATGAAAAACAGTGCTGCTAAACAGGAGAGAGGAGCTTAGCTAGTTTAGTTAAAGCTTGTGCGTTACTTTCACGTTTCCTAAATCGAGAGCAGCCCCAGTGTCACTTTTTTGCTCTTTGCAAAGGATCTTATTTGCGCTTAAAGTGTTTGTTTTGTTTTTCGTCTTGTGTGGAGCTGCATCTCCGAAAGCAGCACAAACTGACACATCATCATTTTGAAATACCACTTAAACACCAACATTTTTAAGTACTGTTGTCATTTTTAAATGCCGGAGAATACCTCATTTCCGTTATACCACCCAACACTAATAAGGTCATAGTGGATCTTTCCTTTTGCTTGTTAAACTTGCTTAATCGTTTGAGGTCGATGAACTCGTCAGTGCAAATGAGATGTTTCTTGGTGTTTCTATTAATATCTTTGTAATAATACCGAGCAAAAATACAATTCAAACAGCTCCTGAACCTGTACAGTCTGCCCTTTCCATTCCATCTTATCACAGGATTGCTGGTCACTCACATCTAGAGTTATGAGCCAATTAAGACAAGCTGAGACAAATGCTGTGTGGATTCATGCGTCCGTCTATATTTTGCGCTGAACTGACCAATGGACACTCAGAAAATCACTAAGGCCTTACCCCTCACGTCGAAAACTCTGCCTTGGACACAGATGTGAAATGCCGCTGCAGTGGATTTGGAAAATGGCAATGCAGAGAATATTTATCTACTATTCTAATCATATAACCCCATTTTCAAAAAAGTTGGGACGCTGTGCAAAATGTGAATAAAAACAAAATGCAATGACATGCAAATCATTTTAACGCTATATTCCACTAAAAACAGTACAAACACAACAAATAAAATGTTGAAACTGAGAAATTGTATTGTTTTTTGAAAAATATATGCCCATTATGAATTTGATGCCAACAACGCGTTCCAAAAACGTTGCGGGCAACAAAAAAAACAAAAGGCTGATAAAGTTATGTAATGCTAAAAAAACACCTAGTGGTTAATTGGCAACAGGTCAGTAACATGACTGAGTATAAAAAAGCATCACAGAGAGGCTGAGTCTTCCAGAAGTAAAGACGAGGAGGAGTTCACCACTCTGTGAAAGACTGCACGATCAAATAGTGAAACAATTCAAGAATAATGTTTCTCAACATAAAATCCCAAAGAACTTTTGCTTTTCATCGTCTACGGTACATAATATCATTAAAAGATTCAGAGAATCTGGAGAAATCTCTGTATGCAAGAGACAAGGCCAAAAACCAGTATTTGCTGGCCATGATCTTTGGGCCCTCAGACAGCACTGCATTAAAAACACATGATTCTGTAGTGGAAATCACTGCATGAGCTCAGAAACACTTCTGAAAACCACTGTCTGTGAAAACAGTTCATCGCTGAATCCACAAGTGCAAGTAAAACTCTAAAACGCAAAGAAGAAACCAAATATAAACAGGATCCAGAAATGCTGCTGCCTTCTCTGGGCCTGAGCTCATTTAAAATGGACTGAGGGGAAGTGGAAAAGTGTCCTGTGGTCCAACGAATCAACACTTGAAATTCTTTTTGGAAATCATAGACACTGTTCTCCGAGCTAAAGACCACGCAACTTGGTATCAGTGCACAGTTCAAAAGCCAGTATTTATGATGGTATAGGGGGGCATTAGTGCACATCTGTGAAGGCACCATTAATGCTGAACAATATATACATACA